GTTTTGTTTGATACCCAAGCCAGCCTTAAACTTGTGATCCTCCTGCCTTTACCTCTTGAGTGCTGAGGTTCTAGGTATGTAACACTCATCCAGCTGATACAAAGATGATTCCATAATCTCAGATATATTTTTGTGTCTTCAGAGTAAGTATCTCCATGGTCTTCAAGTAGTATAGGGTCCAGATCTTTGTAGGTACCATAAGAATCACACAGAGTTGTATTGTCATGCCAACCAGTCTGTGTAATGTTGTCATGCCAACCAGTCTGTGTAACGAATTTAGACAAAATTTTTCTGAGTCAGCCTTTTTCCATGTGTGTATGTGTGTGTGTGTGTGTGTGTGTGTGTGTGTGTGTGTGTGTATATACACACACATAGGTTATATGTTTGTGGGCACATGTGTGTGTGTGTGTGTGTGTGTGTGTGTGTGTGTGTGCATATGTGCTTTTGGAAGTCAAGGCTGGCATCAGGTAGCTTTCTTGATATCCCTTTATCTTACCTTATACACTAAAAATAAATAGGTCTCACTGAACCTACAGATTGCTAGTGGCTAATCTAACTAGTTAACTTGCTAGAGGATGCCAGCTCTGCTTTCCATGTGCTGAGATTACAGGTAAACCATCACACCTACCCAGCTTGTAGATGGATGCTTAGAGATCCAAACTTGGCAGATTTGGACCTTTTAGTCTACTTTTCAAAGTACCCCTGATAAACATAGCACCCAATTGTGCCTTCTCGTTTTAAGTGTAACCCTATAGTTGCCTTTTAAGAAGGTTTTTTCTGATTTTTTCCCCCTGAATTCTGAGGCTCTAAAACCTTCCTCCATATTCTGAGCCAATTCTTCTTTGAGTGCCCATCTGTAGGACCGTCCCTTTTTCTGCCACCCCTCACTGTCAGCCTGGCTTAGGCAAAGCAGCTGCATGCACTCAGGGCCAGAGAAGTCACTGGCAGCTGGCCAGGGTGAGCAGTTATTCCCCAGAGATGCTTGCAAAGGCCATTCAGCAGAGCTCTCCTTGTGGAACAGGATTAGATGGATAGATCTCTCAGCCTGACAGCCAGGTGAGTCCTTCTAAGCCCTGCCCAGACATAGGTGGGTTTTTGACTATGCAATCTCTCCTCAGATCGGAGGAACATGAATACCAAACACTCTTTTGCTTCCTCTGGGATTAGATCCAGATAAATTCATCTTAAGTTGAAAGCAGTGTAGATTGTTAACATATTAATTCTATGAACACTACCAACTGTAGAGTCTTGGCTGTGTCCCCTTGTGATAACGTTGCTACTGATACCCAGCATCTACAGAGGACAAATCACAAGCCTAGGGAAAGATTCAAACTGAACATTTCTCATGCAGTTTCTACTGAGTACGTATAGTGCTGTCTCACCTCACCATTAAATCCAAACTCTGGAGTCAAACACCCATCATAAAAAGGGCTGTCTGCGTCTTCGCTCTGATCCCAGATGTATTATGAGTCTTTCAGATCCCACAAGCCAAGTGTGAAGAAAAATCTGTGCCCTTGGTTCTCCCAGGTGTTTTTTAAAAAAAATAGTTATGCCAGTAAAATTTCCATTTAAAATGTGTTTGTTTATTCAGAGTAGAGAAACAGAGATGTGCAGGGCCCCTCTTGGACCTATTTCAGATCGCTGATTGTGTCTGCATCATCCGGGGCTGGCATGTTTCAGGCTTGAAGAAGGGTGATGATAGAGGAAGACATCTTGTGACTATGTAAATGGCAAATCCCCAGAAATGAAAGCCCCACTTTTCAGAAGACAGTCCCTCCCCCTGTGGTACAGGCCACAAGGAGTTCCACACACACCCAGGCCTCTGCCACACTTCCACAGGCTACACAATGTGAATCCAGACAAATAAGGTGTGCTTATTGAGGACATTGACCATAATTTTATAAAACTGATCAAAATAATCTTTGTTCGTCTTTATTTCCTGGTCTTCACCAAATCTCACCCTAGAGCAGTGGCTCCCCACCTCCCTAATGCTGCAGGCCTTTACCACAGCTCCTGATGCTGTGGGGACCCCCAACCACAAAATTATTTACTACTACTTCATAATTGTAACTTTGCTACTGTTGTAACTCATAATATAAATATTGGTGTTTTCTGACGGTCTTAGGGGACCCCTGTGAAAGGGTGGTTTGGTCCCCTCCCCTCAAAGCGGTCATGGCCCACAGGTTGAAAAACGCTGCTCTAGAACGTGGTAAGGCGTCCATCTTTGCTTGCTCTTTGCTTCTACAATCTTCTTAATATTCTACCATCTTTTAATGTTCTACCATCTTCTTAATAAGGAAAACGCTGCTGGACCATGTGTAGCTTTGCTTGTGGTTTTGTTGGTTTTGGGGTGTGTGTGTGTGTGTATTTGTATGTGTGTGTGTGTGTGTGTATTTGTGTGTGTGTCAGTCTGTGTGTGTGTTTGTGTCTCTGTGT